ATGGTCAGAGATTGGAACATGTGGAAATGATGCTTGTCCCGTAGTGTGGGAAAGATCGGCTAAAGAAGAGCAGGAAAATGAGGAAATGAGTCCGAAGGTGAAGGGATTCAAGCTCAAGGGGAGCTAAGAGTGTATACAATGAGAAGACAGAATGAAGGAACTGTGCCTGCCGTTCCACTTGTGTCATGAAGTCCTTTGTCCCGATCTACCACGACCTCTGAAACACCTATACCATCCACTTCAGAATCTGATTATCTGAGTGATATGATTCATCTTCCTTCTCCCACTCCCCCACGACATTAAGGATGACCTCTCGCAGCAATGTGGGTCGTTCTCCTAATCATTATTCTCCTGATTGTTTTGGTTTCTCACATGACATTGCTCAGTTTGTCTCATACTCTAACATATCGCCTGTATACAAAACATTCATTGCATCTTTGGATACTATCTCTATACCAAAGTGTTGGTAGGTTGCTAAGGAGGATCTAAAGGTGAAGATTGTCATGCTGGAGGAACTTGCTGCACTCGCTAAGATCAGTGCGTGGGAGATAGTACCTTTACTAACGGGGACAAGAATAGTTTGGGGCAAGTGGATTTGTATAGTGAAACAAAATCTAGAAGGGAATATGGAGAGTTATAAGGCACGATTGGTGGCAAAAAGGTACAATCAAACATATGCCATTGTATATGACGAGACTTTTGCATCAGTAGCGAAGATGAGCATGGTGAGGACACTGATTTCTTTGGCTGTGAATGGTGGGTGGAGGTTACACCAAGTCGATATAAGAAATGCTTTTCTTCATGGTGAGTTACTAGAGGTGTATATGGAAATACCACCAAGATTCGTACAGATCAGACAATAGGCAAGGTGTGCAGACTCAGAAAGCACCTTTATGGCTTGAAGCAGTCTCCTCGAGCTTGATTTGACAAGTTAGAAAAATTATGGTGGGCATGGGACATCGGCAAATCGATGTTTGACCATAAGGTGCTCTGTCGTCAAAATGGTGATCATATCATTATGCTTGTTGTATATGTTGATGACATGATTATCACTAGTGATGATGAGACAGATTTTTCAACCAAAGATAAGATTGGGTAAAAATATTGATGTGGACTTTAGACAGCTCAAATATTTCATCGGGATTGAGGTGGCCCGTGGACAAAAGGTGATAGTCTTCTATCAAAGAAATTATGTACTTGATATTCTCATAGAAACAAACATGCTAAGATGCAAGCCTGCAGTCTCTCCAACTGATCAGAAGACCAAGCTGAGTACAGAGGCAAGAGAGTCAGCTGATCCTGAGAGATACCAGAGAATCTGATCTATCTGAGCCACACGCGTCCTGACATCTTATTTGCAGTGAGTGTGGTGAGTCGCTATATGCATGAACCAAAAAAGGGTCATATGGATATAGTTTATCAAATTTTGAGGTAATTTAAGAGTGCATAAGGGAATGGGTTGATCTTAAGAAAGAATGGACATGTAGACATTGAGGGCTATTGTCATGCTGATTGGGCGAGTTGTGCATATCACAGAAGATTCACCTCAGGATACTGCATGTTCGTAAGAGGCAACTTGGTCACTTGGACGAGCAAGAAAAAATCTATAGTAGCGAGGTCAACAACAGAGGTAGAGTACAGGGCCATGATCTTAGGAGTTGCCGAGATGATGTGGCTGAGAGCCTTGTTGGTCAAGCTCAAGGTGGATCAAGGAACTTAAATGAAGTTGTGTGACAATAAGGGTGCGTTTGGCGCAGCTTATTGTGGCGTCTGACGTTTTGAAAACGCAGGATAAGCGTTTGGTTCGTGCGATTGGGGGGCAGGCTGAAAACGCCGGTCTTAATTTCTGAAGAGAAGCGGGACATGGGATCGACCCCGCGTCCCGCTTTGATGAAGTGCGTTTAGGAAAAATCCCTCTCGTGCCCTTCTTCTCCCTTGTGAGATCTCGTTGCCCTAGCTGCTTCTCCATCGCTCCTCTCCCTCCCTCTCCCTCTCGTCTCCTCTCGTCTCCTCGGTTCTTCTTCGCGTCGCCATTAGCCGATTCCCGCCTCATTGATCTCACCCGATTCCCTGTTCGACATCCTATGTTGTATTTGCTACTAATGCTTTAGCTGATTCTCTGTTCGGCATCCTAGGACGTTACTTCACTATTTCCTTGCTTTTCTTTTGCCCTTCGTCTTCATCCTCACCGTCGTCGTCACTCTCGAAGGCGTCAATAAGTGTTCCTCATTTGGTAAGTGGGTTTGTTGATTTTGAATTGAGAAAATTGGTGAAAAATTTTGGCTTTGAATTGGAAGATATGCAGAGGACTGTCTGTTTGTTACTTTGCTTTTGATTGATTTTTTTTCATCCCGACATGTTTTTACACTTTTTAGTTATTCAATTATTGCTGATTTTGAAGCCTATAAGCTTAATTCTACTTCCATTTGCCTCACTCACTGTGATGAAAGGTAGATAGAAATGAGTTACCCTTGATGGATGAATGTCTTCATAGAAATTCCAAGAGCTTAAAAATTCTACATAGTGGAATTCAAAGCAAAATTAATTAACATATGCATATATTTTGAAGCAAAATTAATCTGATGAATGTAAAGCTTATCTTGAACAATTCTGAGAAAAAAAAAATTTAGGCTCAAAATTTCTTCTTTTTTTCTTTGCAGCTTATCCAAAACAAGGGCAGATTTGTCATTTTTCCAGAATCAGCTATTCTCTAAACGCGCAAACCAAACAGACAGACAACTTATCCGGATCAGCTGTTTATCACCAGATTATCAGGATAAGCTGGATAAGCTGCAGCTGCTCCAAACAGACCCTAAGTCAGCAGTCAACATTGCCAATAACCCAGTGCAACACGATAAAACCAGACATGTGGAGATTGATAGTTTCTTCATTAAGAAAAAGCTGAATAACGTACTACTGGAGCTAAGTTATGTAGCCATTGGAGAGCAAGTGGCTGACTACCTGGCTAAGCACTTAGTTCATTAGATTTGTCTAGATTATGTAACAAATATCTTTTGCCCATCTTGAGGGTGAGTGTTGGGATTTATCTTTTTTTTAGGGTTATAATTATAAATAGGAATTATAGAAGAAGTCTGGGGGTTATTTGTAAAAAGTTTGTAAGGCTCTGCCAATGTCCAACTCATGAATGAGGGAAAGAAGATTTTTACCAAGTATTCATTTCTTCACAAACTACTCAGTCATAGATTTGGTTGAATATTCATTCTATATTTTGTAAAAAAAAAAATTGTCAAGTGGCCGAAAAACTTAATATATTTGATTTAATTTGAGCAGAAGATTTATTCTATGTTTGTGCATCTTGGTCATTCAAAGTATCACATGCAATTTACAAGGAAAGGTAGTGAATCTTCAATTAATTCCTAGAAAGCAGTAAAAGTAGCATGAATTGAGGTATAGGAGAAAATCAATAAATATCTTGGTTCTCTCTGGCATCCTGTCAATCCAACGGCTTGACTACATCACATATTATAAGCTATTGCATAATATCATTACATAACGGAGTAACTATATAGATCAAATATTATAATATCTATTAATTATAAATTATAAATAAATCTCCTAGATTCTACAATAGTAGCAACAAATATAATGCATACCTTAAGGAGTTGTTTGAAGTGCAAAGCAAGTGGTGCACTTGTGTGCGAGTGATCAGAATACTTGGGTTTGCAAATAGATATTTTGTCATAATTAATAAGTAGAGACATGAAGAAAACTCATTTTCATACAAGAGAGCCCATTGATCGTTTCCCCTGTATCTCTTTAATTTTTTATTGATTTTTTTATTATTATTATTATTTTATTTTGGTTTGTTTAACTGCCCTAGGCTTTCGACCAGCTACCACTCTCATTTTGATAGGGTTCTACCTAACAAGTACATTTTTTGTAACCTTCTTGTGCTTGTTTGTATATCCTGCCCATTTATTCTTCCTTGGTGATTCCTACATGGAATGTGATGGAAGCAAGGAAAGAGATCTATTTGATAAGAGGGTAGGATAGTTGGCAAAGGAGTAAGATAACTTTGCCATAGTTGTCAACATACTCCCAAAAAAATGGCTTGATGTTGCCAGTCAAGAAAAGAAGAAGAGATTTGCACTATTGATGTATAGAAATTACACTTAGAGCACGAGAGAGAGATAGAGAGTGGAAAAAAAAAACAGTTTTTTGTGCTTAAAACAAAAAGTATTTATTCATTAGAAAGAGTCACAAACTCAAGCAATGCCTCATGTCCATCCTCACACCATTTTATGTAGAAATGGAAGAGGGTGGCAAACGTAAGCACAGAAGTGTTGTAAAAGTGGATGAAGGAATTCTCCTCATTAAGTATATGCATGAATATATTAATGCGATGTCAAAGTTTTTTTCTTCACATAAAATCATGCATCAATGTAATTTTTCATGTGTGAGAGAGTAGGAGATGCCAAATGGTCAAGACATTAATGGAACTCTTTTTGAAGAAGAGAGTTGGGAATGCCAAAGCTGAAGATTTATTTATACATGACAAGCAATAAAGCAAAACTAGATTTTTGAAGATCTACGGATCACACAACATATGTCAAGAGCCAATCTGTTCTTAATAGAAAATGATTGATAGCATCAATTATTGCAACAATGGCTTCTCCTAATCTATGTGCTAGAACATTTGTTTTCTGATTTTTAGACAGATTTTTTAGGCTTATAGGTCTACTGCATTTTGAAGTTTGTTGTATTAACTTCAATGATTTGTATCGTGCTTTTGGCAATATTTTAGTTATTTCAAAAAGCTATTGTGTGGGTATCCCATACACAAAATAACTACTAGATTGGCTATACGATCGAGCAAAGCTGTATGTTAGTGTCTCAAGCGCTGGTTTGAATGTTTCTATTGAAAGCACAACCAAAACCAGCCATTCAACTTCTTTTGTTTGAGATGGTTTTCCAAGCATTATAGTAAACCATAGGCCAGACCATTATTTTTAAAGATTTTTCGAAACCTATGGTTGCAGGAATCAATGGAAGAGCTGGGTGTGTACTTGGTGAGCTTTGATAGACCTGGCTATGGCGAGAGTGATCCAAACCCGAGACGATCACTGAAGAGCACCGCATTGGACATTGAAGAGCTCTCAGATGCCCTCGAGCTGGGTTCTAAATTCTTCCTCATCAGCCTCTCCATTGGAGGCTGTGGTGCTTGGGCTTCCATCAAATACATCCCTGAAAGGTAAGATATCATCACTACAGATTCTCCCATTTCAGAACATTATGAAAATCAGTTTAATCTCTTGTCACTCTCCAAAGAAACTGCCAACACTCATGAGTTTTAGGATCGCCGGGGTGGCACTTCTTACTCCAGTGATTAACTACCACTGGCCCAGTTTTCCAAAGAAATTATCCCAAGAAGCTTACGAGCAGCAGCATGTAGGAGATCAGTGGTCGCTTAGAATCTGCTACTATGCTCCCTGGCTACTTCACTGGTGGATGAGTCAGTCTTGGCTTCCCAGCTCCACCGTCGTCAAGGGTACAACCCACCTCCCTAACCACCGTGATGCTGAGTATCGAGAATTTTCCTTCTCTAGTGGAATTCGTGATGAGGTTGCTTGATCAATCTCTTTATATCTGCATTAATGACAATTGATTTTATATTTGCCCACCGTTCACTCTTAATCTGTGTTCTGATATGGCTGGCAGAGGAGGAAGGTGGCAACCCAGCAAGGCATTCAGGAGTCCTATTACAGGGATATGATGGTGATGTTAGGCAAGTGGGAGTTCGATCCGATGGATATCCAGAAAACACCTTTTCCTGTACATCTATGGCAAGGCGACGAGGACGGGGTCGTGCCGGTTTCTCTCCAGCGTTATCTCTGCCAACGTCTTCCCTGGATACAATATCATGAACTCCCAATGACTGGACATTACCTTCTTATTGATCCTGGATTTGGTGATCTTGTTCTTAGAACTCTTCTAGTTGAATATTCACTGTGAAAGAACTAGAAGATTATTATTCTTTTCCATGATGTTAAAAGTGTTGATGGTAAAAAAATTGAATGTTAAATGACAAATGAGTGTGAAACTTTACCAATTTGAATTTGATCAACCTAAAAGATTGTTTTTCTTTTCCATGATTGATTCATTAGTTGACTTGATAGTTGATTACTCCTATCATGACCCATTTTAATTCTTTCTCTGGTTATCAATAAATGAATTTTCAATTAACTGATTGTGAGGAGATGACATTCATTACTGGATATAAGCAGTTAACAACAAATGATGAAGTGTGTGTCGAAATAATCAAAAGGGTTGAATATTTAAGCTTATACTCATGACTTACTAGTGAAGAGCAATACTTTAGAGTAGCATATTGTAGATTTGAAAAAGGCCTTTGCTGCTTAAAAAAAAAATTAATACACATCTCAATCTATTGCAGCATGATTTTGGACATGGATCTAAGAAAGTCTTAGGTATTTTTCTTACAATAAGTGGCAAAAAGATAAATCTTTACATGTTGAAGAAAGTTTTGGACATATTCTCTCCAAGAATTGCTAAGGAACTTTAGTTAGTAATTGAAAGGATTGCATGGTTAAGTCTCTTGATCATGAAGTTGAATGATAAATGTTCATCCTTAATTAAAATCTTAGGAAGTATAAAATATTTCACATGGAATGATGCATATGAAAATACTTTTCAAAGAATAAAATTATTTCTCTCTTCACCACAACTATTACAAGATCTAAAACAAAGGTATGGGCTACTTTTATATCTTAGAATTAGGAAGGAGAGTTTAGCTTTGTGTTAATTTAATAAGGTAGAAGAAAGAAATGACCTATTTATTATGCTAATTTTATGTTTTTAATAACTTAATTGAGATTCTTGGTCATGGAAAATTAGGCTTGGAGTCATCACTACTCAATGAATTTGAGCAATATTTTTGATGCATTTAATTCAAAATTTTATTATTAAAACTTGATCACTTAAGGACATCATTAAAATGGGTAGTTGAATTGAGCAATTTTTAAAATACTTATTCATTAAGTATAGTTGTTGTTTGACTAACTTCACTTTTTAAGAAGCTAAAAAGGAGATAGTGAATTGGGAACACCTACTATGAACTGCATATTGATAAAGCCTAGTTAATACAATAAGTTGAAATTGTAATAATCTTAAAGTGCTCAATAGTAATCATACTAACACTTCTTATGAAGATTGGATTTCAAATAACTAAAAAACATGTAGAGTACAAGGCACTGATTGCTAAATCATGCTTTCTATCAAGATGTAGTTCCAAATACTTGACTATATTTGAAGGTTCTTAACTCATGGTCAGTTAATTGAATGGAAAATGTGAATTTTAGGGAGGTGTCTTGTAGAGGTATTTATTTAAGGTAAAGATGAAGATAAAAAAAATTTTAAGTACTCTAAAATTGTGTAGCTTGTGAAGGAGTAGAATCTACTTATCAACATACTCTTTAAAATAAAAAATCTTTACAAAAATGTTGATTTAGAGTTTTTTAATCCCTACACTGAGGAAATAGAGACTATGTAAGTTAAGGGAAGAATTTTCAAAATTTGCTTTGATCCTTTAGGGAATACTTAAAGTATGAAAAATCCTACCTCCTATGACATATCAAAGAAGATTTAAAGTAAAAACTAATTAATACCTACTCATGGATGCAAAGTTATTTAGAATTGCAATCATTTCCACCAACTTAAAATATGTGAAAAAGAATTATGTTGAAAAAAATCTTAAAGAAACTCAGTTTGGAAAATGTGATGGCCAATCAGAGAATAAACATTGGCTCATCAAATTTTGATGTAAAGATATTTTTAGTTCGACCTTAAAAAATATTTGAAAGAATGTTTTAAGAATGTGAGCATTGCTAAAAAATTGCTTCAATGTTAGTTTGGCATTCTTAGAAATTACAACTAATTTTTAACCCATGACGATTCCCTAATTAAGGAAATGAGTCTGAAGTGATGATAAAATATTTCATTAAATGAATAAAATTGATTGCATAAGCTATTCACAACTTTATCTTGACTAATATAAACATCAATAATGGGTCATATTTAGGGGTGTAAACGAGCCGAACACGAGCGAGCCATGCTCAGTTCATGTTCGGCTCCGTT